GGCATACAGAGTTAATATCGGAGGGATGGCCAGGATGACTAGGATGACTAGACTACTACTACCATCTCACAGATGGAGGAAAGCAAAGGGGATCTGGGACTAGTAACAGCCTGGAATCAGGGTTAATGAAACAGTACTGATATGTGTTCTTCTAACATGCACTCTGATTTTTCTATAGGTTGCTTCAACAAACTTCCCAGTGGGCCCCCCCCTCCCACACCAGTCCCAATGTCAGCTGTCTGGGCTTCTATAGCTATTGATATGCCTCTGCAAAAAAAATATGTTCCGATTTTCGTACAAAAAGCTATGACAAGACTTATAGTAATTGCAGGATGAAAGGCTGTGATATTGGGGGAAGGGCTTTCCTCTATACACCAGACTTCTTGTGGAATATCATGAATCGGTACTGATCCTTTGTGTACTTATTTGATCTAGTATATAATTGGTATTTTCCAGGCTGGTCATTAGGGAGCCTGGGCAATGCCCTCCAGCAATTCCTGCCACTTTCAAACTATTAATTACATCAGCTGTGCTCAAACAGTCAGGGCTGAAAGGGAATATTTGAACTGCGTAATTATTGATGTGGTATAGTGCAAAATTACAATGTGCCTATCGTAAGAATACAAAGTGTATGTTTATTCCTAATTTCATAGACTCTAATTGGTGGATTTTAGGTGAGAACTGTTATAAACACAGGATACTGCTTGGGGATATGAAACCCATTTTTAAATATTAGCACGACAAGCACAGAACATGCTCTGCAATCATTACTGTCCGCAGGAAAAGGACTCTGGATTTGTTTAATATTTAATAGGATATAATATGATAGCACTGATGTAACACATACCATACGTTACAAGAAGCACTAGTCATCTTTGACATTGCCAACAGTAGGAGATTTTTTTTTTATCAATCATTAGGATCCAATGCCAAAAGGTATGCACAGCCATAAGGAACTTGTTGCTTTGCTGCAGTTTTCATTCAGCAAATAAACTGAACAATAGCTGACATTCTTTTATAAGGCACACAACTCCATACACAGGGCTGCTATTAGAAACCATAGGCTCCATATAGTCAACCTGACAGCCCCCCCCCCCCCCCCCCCCCCCAGCCATACAGGGTTTGGTTCCAGTAACTGAACCCTCCCCGCCTTGCAGATCACCCTTCCTACCCACATCCAATTCACCTAGCTACCTGGGCCCCCTGCTTGCCTGGGCCCCGTGCAGGAGGACTGGTGGTACCCTATTATCCACAGCCTTGCTCCTACAGCAGTGACATACAAGTTCATTTTCCAGTTACATACTGAAAGGTAGGCCTCCTTGATATGTTTGGTTAGATTTCTAGTGCTGTATGTTGTATCTGCTTCATGGATTCATTCTGCTGCGAATGAGCTGACACTTAGGTCCATTCGCACTTGTGCGACTTCAAAATCGAGTGATTTTCATTGCAACGTTACAGTGCGACTTTGGCTTTGACCAAGAATGATTGTTATGCTTTGCAAAGTCACACAAAAGTCGCACGTATGTCATGCAGGTGCGACTTTCATGCAACTTTGGAGGCTTTACATTTAAGTCTATGGCCCTCAAGTTGCTTGAAAGTCGGACCAAAGTAGTGCTGGAACTACAGTCACTGCAACTTGAAGTTGCACAGATATGAATGGTACTCGATGGGAAACATGGGGTGCAACTTGTCATATGACTTTGGACCTCAAAGTAGCATGACAAGTCACACAAGTGTGGATGGGCTCATAGGGGTATATTTATACTTTTATTCTTTTTAGAAATGTCTCAGTATTAATGCAAGTGGAAAGAATAATACCTGTAATGTTTGTAATATGTGTGCAATAATTTCCTTGTTCCCTTTTACCAGGTAAAGATAACATTCTTTAACATTCGATCCTAAGAGAACAATAGCTATAAGATCAACCAATGGTTAACAGTCATCAATAGAGAAAAAAGCCTAACACTAAGAACATGCAATCTGGTAGTGGAAATAATGAGGGAGACTTCTTCACTGTGTACTGTCTATGGAGATTCCTGTGTATGCGTGTGCCCTGCTCCCCCTTCCCCTCTCAACCGTACCAGGCCACATGCCCTCAACATGCAGCTCTGCGATATCTGAGCAAATCTCATGTATGAAAGCAGACATGTTGTGGGTCTGTAGGGCCTGGCAACCATATGTCTATACATGTGCACATTCACACTAAACATGCGCAGACACAATGTATGTTAGGTCCTATAGACAGGCAGAGACCCATGGCTTGTCTGCGCATTCACAGGATTTAGTATGATGTTACACATGTGCAGACATGTCATGGGTCTCTGCCAGTCCTGTAAGAACTCTGACATGTCTGTGCATGTGCTGGATATCGATCCAAGATGGCAGGGTGGGAGCCCCAAGGAAGAACTTTGGGTTGGAAGAGGGCAACGTTGGACTCCATGGACCAGCAGGTATCTATTTTTTAATTTATATACTGGAACAATAACCAAGGAGAAAAACTAAATTTTAGCTGGGAAGGGTTATGTTCCTCTTTAACTTTGCCCGACTGGATCATATCCCTATTTCATACTGTGATTTTCAAAATGTTTGTGAAAAAATGATCCAGGCCTGTTCCTTCTTATCTGGATAATGGCTCTAAAATTATAGATTCATATTGTTAGTGATGTTAGATTGAAGTTGGAAACAAGTAATTCTGAATATAAGGGGTCCACATTTTTTGAAAATGTGTCAACGGAATTATTTTATATCATTGTGGGTTTTTCCAGGGGTTTGGCCTTCCTTCTATATCAAAGTGTGTCTAAACCCAAAAACAAAAATGTATTTTATATATATACATATATATATATATATATATATATATATTATATTGCAGATTACCAATGATGGATGCATTCGTTTTCATCTTTAGGCTTTTTTTCCATTTATTCCCACCTGGTTATCCTTTCAGTAAAACACCCCCTGTCTTTGGGTGGCTCCATTCTGTAGAGGCATAATGGAGCCACCCTTGGACAGCAGGACTGTCAACCTGTGAAGTAGAGTTAGATGAACTAGCAAATTTAAATGTACTTAAACAAATTAAAGCCTAACTCCAATTGCTAACACTTTTAAGTAATAGAGTAACTGTTTTTTTTCCTTTTGGGATAAAGGTTGTACATGAATGGATAAAAGCTGACCACCCGTGTCTGTGTTAAATGGTTTGTCTTAACCCTCTAACTACCACTTTTGCTGGAAAGCTTGGTCTATTAAAGGAAGTTAAAATAACAGACTTACTTGATGACCACTTAAAAAGAAAGGAAAAAAGAAAATGAATGCAGCCCTGCTTTTGGGTTTATATATGCTTTAAACCAGGGCTTGAAAAAGCTGCTCGCCCGCCCGCCAAATGCGAGGAGAAATTCTCTAGTGGCGAGCGGCGAGCACAGATGATGGAGTGGCTGCACTCCACGCCTCATTATGAAGCCCAGTTCCAGTTTCCGGCTTCTTCGGCACCGGCGCTGAGGGGACAGGTGCAGGAGAGGTCCGCTCTCCTCTGCTGAGAGGAGACACCCTCTCCACCGCCGCGGGGGACTCAAGGAGTAAGTACTGTATACATGTCATATCACTATAATGGAGTACAGGGGAGCTGGGATATACATTACTGTATACAGTTTTATATTTTGGACTCTTTATTCTAAAGAAAAATGTAATTTCATAAGCTTTAAGGGGGCGGGGTTGGGGTGGGCCTGGGGTGGGGTTTGAGGCAGACCTGGGCAAGGTTGGGTGGGGCAACTGAGGAAAGTAAGGTTTGTGCCTGGCTAGTAGGTCTAGACTCAAAATTTTAAGCCCTGCTTTAAACAGTCTCAGATTATAGCTAGGCTGGCTTTGTCAAATTGAATGTTTTCCTCATTAAGCAAAGTCTTTGCTTAGTCATCCTGGGCCCCTATAAGAGATACTGCATGGCTCACCTCAATTAATACAATTAATGTAGGCATTGACATAAATATATGGTCAGATGTGCGTGCAGTCAACTACTGGACAAACACTTATAAAGTCGATTACAGCTAGAACATATTCATTTGTATCATCTAAATGTTCAAGCAATGGATGCCGATATCTTATGGTACTGGTATAGAGATCACTTTAAAAAAAAAAAAAACAGTTCCTCCACAAAAATAAATAGTGGTATGTGAAGGTACTGTATCTATAGACCTAACATGCCACCAGATCATGCTAAAATGGACTGGATTGGGTAATAATCATCTTATGCCTGCTTGACAGCCCTCCTGACCACCACCTGCAATATGTCAACTGCTTGAAAGACTTGTAGACCACTAAGGGGATGCAAGTCATTTTCACTTACATCAGCCTCTGTTTGACAGACTCCAATGTGCTGCCTCATGATTTAATGAACCCTTCAGGCTGTTTAAGGAATTATAGTTCCTTTGGCTTCAAAACTGAGCTAGTAACAGACGGAACTCAGGCAGGTTGTAAACACTAGTCTTCATGTAGTCTAGGAGGTTTAGAGTATGCTTTCCACATTTCAGTTTACTGTTGGCATAAGATAAATTGCATCTGGTAGACCATACAACATTTTAAGGCCAAAAACATTTTCCCAGCTTGGCATACAATTATAAATACACAGCTACAAAGCGTTCTTTACGTTTTAGAATATCATCACATTCTGACATTTTGAACAGTTACATATTATTCTATAGGTTTTGGAATGCCATCTTTGGAAACCAGAGAACACCATGCCCACATATTTGCAGGCTTGGATGCAGGCTCACTGAGTAAATGACAGCTATACAAATATGATCAGTGAGATCACCAGCTATACAAGATGGATGCCAGGATGCAAATTTTTAATGCTTGATTGACATCTTAATATGTTTTCCATGGTGCTTATTTATTTTGTACATGCTCACACTTGATTTTAATAAACTACCCTCCCCCCCCGCACAGGGACCTGTCTGCGTTGCTTGGTCGATGTTGTTCCAGTGAAGAACGAAGAGGGAGACGTCATTATGTTTATACTAAACTTTGAAGATCTAGCACTACTTCTGGCAAGAAAGGCCAACAAAACACTACATCAGAGGTTGACACGAGCTGCCTTCCATTCAGGTGAGTGATTGTAGCATTTCCTGCATGATTTGTATTAACATCTTTTCTGTCCACCTTCCAGGATCACAAACACTAGGTACTCATACCGTAACTTTGCCCAGGAAAGTTTCATGCATAAATGTGGGCATTGCTATTTCTCTGGGTTAAAGAGAAATTGCAGAAAAAACTGGTCTTACCCCACTATCACCACCACCACCACCACCATCATCAAATCCAGAAATAGAAGTCTGTATCCAAGCTCTTATTGCCTTGCATACCCAAAAAATTCTCATTCCAATATCTTCTGCAAATATGTGTTTGTGCCGGCCCCATGCATACAGAATAATGGACACTCTGGGGGAGATTTACTACAACTGGAGAGTGGAAAATCTGGTACAGCTGTGGATGGTAGCCAATCAGCTTCTAATTTCAGCTTGTTTATTTAAGTTTTGCCAATAAGACCACATTCACATCTGAGCGATTTGTAGCTTGAAACTTGAAGCTTGAAGCTTCAAATGAAGCTTGAGGAGCAAAAAAAAAAAGAAAAATAATAATAAAAAAAAAATAATAAAAATAAACACCCTAACAAAAATAAATAATGAATGAATTCATTAATTAACACTCTAATCCTAAAAAAAATACATAAATAAATAATGCATAATGAGAAGACAATACATAAAATATTAACCCCTAACCCAAACACCTAGCCCCTAATTCTAACTCCCAACCCTAAAACCCAACCCTAAACTTAACCGCTAATCCTAACACCTAACCCTAAACTTAACCCCGAACACCCAACTTCTTACCCAAACCCTAACCCTAAGTCTAACCCCAAACCTTAACACCTAACCCAAAACCCTAAATATAAAAGCTGATGAAAAAGCTAAAAAAAAGCTGAAAAACCTAGCAACGAATGATGAAACTGATGATTATTATCTCTATTGGCTATTAAAAAAAGCCAAAGTTCAAAAATGCTTTAAAAATGCAGTATAAAAAGTGCAAAAACGTGCATACAAGCACTTGACAAAACTCTCGAAAAACCGATTCTCAGGTGTGAATGGAGTCTAAAACCTTGAGCTGCACCAGAGTTTGTACCATGCAATTGTAGCAAATAATCCCATTTGGATGTATTTCCTGAGATTAAAGTGTATCTATGGTCAAAATGTAAAATCATATATTCCTTATCACAATGAAATTCCATTATTTTTAGCCTCCTTTTAATCTTAACAATCTTGAAATTTGTAGACTAACTTTGTGAAGAATCTCACATATTCCTTGAATGTATACATATATTCACTATGTCCTCTAGGTAGGCACTGCTGTGTCACACATTTTACAGAGTCTGCCTTCTAATCTACAGAGGAGCTGAGAGGAGGAGTTTCAGGTGATGGAGTCAGTACAGCTAGCTAGCAGGCAGCAAGGTATCATGGGATATGTAGTTCTTAGAATTTTAGCATAAACCAAAATATGAGCAAAGGAGAAGCTACAAAGCATGTAGAGAATCCAGGAAGTTGTGGAAAGAGATGGCCAGCAAATAAGCAGCACTCACAACATACAAGGAGATTTTTCTAAGTAAACGTATATTGGATTGTCAAAAATAACTATTTTTTGTTTTGCAAAGTTGATGTTAAAAAATGAAAGTATATTCTCTGACTATAGGTCTCCTTTAAAATGAAGACAGCTGTTATTTTGTATGGCTGGGCAAGACTACCAGTTTTCCATTGCTTCAGATTTTAGTTTAAAAAAAAATGACCACTTGCTCATAAGTAGAGAATACACTCTTCAGTCATTTTTTACAATGCTAATATAGTCAGATGAAACGTGCCAACAATTATACATTCTCCGAGGCTTGCCACATGGACACTCGTTACTTAAAGTTGATTTAAACCCAAAACAAAAGATGTAACATATTGCAGCTTGCTAGTGATTGGTGTGGTGGATGTATTTGTTTTCTTTTTTACAACCTTTTTTGCTTTATTATGACCAGGTAGTCCTGAAATAACATAATTCCTGTCCCTAAGTGGCTGTCACTCTTCTGCTGTATCTATGGAGGAAGCTATAGTTGTAGTCCTAGGCTATATATATATATATATATGATAAAGTGCCATGCAGTACAAATGTGCAAGTGATTTATAAATGAATCAAAGTAAATATGTATCAATCAATAACAGTAAATAAATCCCAAATGTCCATATATTCCTCTAGACATGTGTAATTGTGTTACTGATATCTTTGAGCCTGTGTAGGGTGTTTTCTTAATCGCACAGTTACAATCTTCCAAAATGTTCTTTCACCATGTGCAGTTATCCCTTCACCACCATCTCTAAGCTCTCACCTTATGTTTAGACTTCACAAGTAGGTCTCATGCGCTTGTCCCTTTAAGTGGAGTCTCCTATGGCACAGTTGTAATATCTTCCTCCTGCTTACTGGTGCTTCTCAGTCTATCTCCATCTTCTGTGGTCTTATAGTGTAAGCTCAAAATAAAGAATATATAGTGCTTTCTGTAAAAAAAAAACAATATTTTTTGTTTAAAATTTTTTATACTCAACTTTTCATATGCACAAACAAAAGGTGCACTGCTATGTATAGGCATGTAAGCCTCTCCACCTTTCTATCAGGCTGTCTTCATTTATATCAGGATGTCACTGTGGATACAGAGAAACCTGTCTTGCTATGACATGCATGAGGGGCAGGTATAGAACCGCCATTCCAACACAACATTGGAATGCCAATTTAGACAGGTGCCCCAACTGATGTCATTATTAATGTATAGTTAGTAAAACTGTCATTCCTACAACAATTAGATTCTTTAATTTTCACAGCTGATATTCAGAAGTTTGAATCTGCTTGCTGTGAGCAATGTAATCAGTTGTTAAGTAGAGAATGTGATAAATAATATTTCATTCGGTGTGGTCATTGTCTCATCAGATTCTGAAAATCTACCACCTGGATATCTGTGCATTCTGAAATGATGGCTTACTGTTTATGTTGTCGCTTATAGCTGTTTCTGTTCCATTTCAGACAGGATCATTGAAAGTGAAGTAAAGGGAATATTTGTGTTGTTTTGATGAAAAAGAAGCAAGTGCCTTCCTGCATTATTGCTGTAGAAAGCCTATGGCCAACAACTAGATATAAAGCACTAACACAGTGACACCTTCAGGCTATAAATTATAGTACAGTACTTTAAAGGACTGAATGGCACATCACTTGAAAATATTGGCCTTGCTGGCCTATTTTAAGGACCATTTGCCTCCATCTAATAAAATAAAAGTATAAAAAATAAAAAAAATAGGGCTGCTGGATAACAGTGGCATTGCTCATATCAGTTGACTGGCTCTGTTGTAGTCTGCACTGAAAAAAAATTATATTTGCTCCTGAACAACAGAATGTGTTTTTTTTTCTCTTAATAAAGTAGTAATATATTTAATCACATCAAGACATGTCTTCTCTTAATATGGCAGTATTGTTTCCCTGTTGTTACATTTGCAGTGTTTTTGCACATAGCTTCTCGCTCTCAGGGCAGAGAATTTCATTGCTAATCTCTGTGGCCCTGTCAATCATAACAAAAAAAAAATCACCCATACATTGTGGCAGAAGCACAGCTGGCTTACAGGGCTGACCTTTCTACAGTCAATCTGAGTCTAGCTGTGTGTGACTATTAAAACCTAATTAAAATAAAGATTTAGGCATTTAAATAAGTACATTTTTAAAGATTTTTTTTAAATTGTATGCAGCGCCCAAACCGTTCTTTTCTAGTTTTGGATAGAGTAAGGAAACGTTACAACTACTGTCAGTTTATTTTTTTGCTGTCCGCATCCCACTAGTGAGATTTCCATCCATCTCCTATCATTTCCTGTCCCAGAGAGCAACTTGGCTTCCTATGGTGGCACTCTGAGAAGAGGAGGTGCCAGGAGCATCAGTGGGGGACCAGAGAAGAGGAGGATCAGGGCTGTTCTGTACAATACAATTCCGACTCCAAAGTATATATATCATGTTTGTTATTTTTAAAGAAAAGTTTTGATTTTATAAACACTTTAAGTGAACTTGTTGTTTTGCCCCTCATACAGTGCCTTGAAAAAGTATTCATACCCCTTGAAATTTTCCACATTTTGTCATGTTACAACTAAAAACGTAAATGTATTTTATTGGGATTTTATGTGATAGACCAACACAAAGTGGCACATAATTTTGAAGGAAAATGATAAATGGTTTTCAAAATGTTTTACAAATAAATATTGAAAAGTGGGGCTTGCATTTGTATTCAGCCCCCTTTACTCTGATATCTCTGACTAAAATCTAGTAGAACCAATTGCCTACAGAAGTCACCTAATTAGTAAATTTAGTCCACCTGTGTGTAATTTAATCTCAGTATAAATACAGCTGTTCTGTGAAGCCCTCAGAGGTTTGTTAGAGAACATTAGTGAACAAACAGCATTATGAAGGCCAAGGAACACACCAGACAGGTCAGGGATAAAGTTGTGGAGAAGTTTAAAAAGCAGCTTTAGGTTAAAAAAAATCCTAAGCTTTGAACATCTCACGGAACATCTCACTGTTCAATCCATCATCTGAAAATGGAAAGAGTATGGCACAACTGCAAACCTACCAAGACATGGCCGTCCACCTAAACTGACAGGTCGGGCAAGGAGAGCATTAATCAGAGAAGCAGCCAAGAGGCCCATGGTAACTCTGGAAGAGCTGCAGAGAGCCACAGCTCAGGTGGGAGAATCTGTCCACAGGACAACTATTAGTCGTACACTCCACAAATCTGGCCTTTATGGAAGAGTGGCAAGAAGAAAGCCATTGTTGAAAGAAAGCCATAAGAAGTCCTGTTTGCAGTTTGTGAGAAGCCATGTGGGGGACACAGGAAACATGTGGAAGAAGGTTCTCTGGTCAGATCAGACCAAAATTGAACTTTTTGGCCCAAAAGCAAAACGCTGTGTGTGGTGGAAAACTAACACTGCACATCACCCTGAACACACCATCCCCATCGTGAAACATGGTGGTGGCAGCATCATGTTGTGGGGATGCTTTTCTTCAGCATGGACAGGGAAACTGATCAGAGCTGATGGGAAGATGGATGAAGCCAAATACAGGGCAATTTTAGAAGAAACCTGTTAGAGTCTGCAAACGACTTGAGACTGGGATGGAGGTTCACCTTCCAGCAGGACAACGACCCAAAACATCTAGCTAGAGCTACAATGGGATGGTTTAGATCAGCATATTCATGTGTTAGAATGGCCCAGTCAAAGTCTAAATCCTATTGAGAATCTGTGGCAACACTTGAAAATTACTGTTCACAGACGGTCTCCATCCAATCTGACAGAGCTTGAGCTATTTTGTAAAGAGGAATGGGCAAAAATGTCCCCCTCAAAAAGACTTGCACCTGTAATTGCAGTGAAAGGTGGTTCTTTGTATTGACTCCGGGGGGCTGAATACAAATGCACACCACACTTTTCAGATATTTATTTCTAAAAAAATTTGAAAACCATTTATCATTTTCCTTCCACTTCACAATTATGTGCCACTTTATGGTGGTCTATCACAAAAAATCCCAATAAAATACATTTACATTTTTGGATGTAACATGACAAAATGTGGAAAATTTCAAGGGGGTATGAATACTTTTTCAAGGCACTGTAGGCAAAGTAAAGGTGCATTTTAAAATGCCAACCCAGGCTATCCTATTTCTTCTTTTACTCTTTTTTTCCTTTTCTTTTTTATCTTCTTTTTACTATGGCCTATATTTTGTGACAATATTGCCAAAACTTGCTTTTTTTCTCAGAGAGGTCAAAAATGAAGCCAAGCTTTTTGAACTCCTCCAATGAGTCCGACCTCATGAGATACAGAACCATCAGCCAGATACCCCAGTTTACCCTCAACTTCGTGGAGTTCAACTTAGAAAAGCATCGATCAGCTTCCACCACAGAGATTGAGATTGTGGCTCCTAGTAATGCCTTTGAGAGAACACAGAATGTCACAGAGAAGGTGACCCAGGTAAGTGTTTCCAGGTCTGGTTTTTATTTGGAAATATTTATTTATTTATTTTTGTCAGGAAAAGTTTTTTTTCAAGTTTGCACATTGTACAAAACAAGTACAGAAAGTAACAACTACAAATCTATGTCTTAGCATCTTAGAACGGTAATAGCAAAAAAGCATACAGTGTAGCAGGTATAATTCACATAACACAGTACAACAATTACAACAATTACAACAATTTGTAGAAGAGTTTCGTAACTCAAACATTGCAAGCAGCCAGCAAAAGGCACGGACAAGACAAGAATAGGGTAAACAAGAAAAGGAAGGGGGAAGATGGTAAAATGGGGGATAACAGAAAGAAGGGACCAGAAAAAAGGTGGAGAGAAGAAGAGGGAAAAAAGGGTAAGAGCCAGCATATCCTGTGACAAGATGCCCCATGAGGATAAAAACTGGGGTAGCGGGTCAGACAGTGATACCCTGTGCATCAATCCAGCTATCCCAGACTTTATTGAACTTGTTAGGACAGTTCCTGCTGGCATATTTGATTTTTTACAGAGATAGGGTCCCATTAATTGCTGCCTTCCAACTACTCACCGTTGGAGGAACAAGAGATTTCCACCTCAAAAGGATCTCTCTCCTAGCACAGTGAGCAGAGTAGAAAAAAAAAACTTGTTTATTGGCCACCACTCCCTCAACGAGGCCCAGCAGCCAAAGGGCTTGGTCCAGTGGAAGTGGAAAGTTGTCAACTGTATTGACACCACCGCTACCACCTCCCTCCAGTTGCATTGTAGTCTGGGGCACGAACAAAAGACATAAAAATAGGTGCCAGTATCTGTACTGCACCTAAAACAACAATCTGGAGTACCAGAGTAGATGGTAGACAAATGCTGCGGCATATAATAGACCCTATGGAGAAATTTTAGTTGGAGAAACCGTTCCCCGGCAGAAATCTTAAAAACTGGAGTAATCAGTCCTCCTAATCGTCAATGGGGATGCTGGCATGTCACTTATGAAACAAGGCAGTCATTCTAGGTAAAGTCAAAGGCGACAGTGGTTTAGGTAGGTTGTCAATGGATAACATTGCCTCGAGCGGGTCAGAAACCAAAGTTTTGGGGAACTGTGCATGGACCACATGGTGGAGCTGTAAAAACCAGAAGGACATATTATTCGGCAGGTGGTATGTATTCAACTGGTGGAGTTAAAAACCAGAATGATTTCAAAGTCGGATGGCAAGTTGCCATTTCAAAGGGTGCAGAATTTCGATACACATTGATACTGTGCGACTTCATGCACAGATGTATCTGCAAGTCGCACCTCAAATCGGCAAAAGTAGTGCAGGAACTACTTTTCTAAACGGTTCAACTTTGTCAGAGTGGCAAGTCGCATCAGTGTGAACAAGGGCTTAAGGACAGTAAAGAGCTTTGTGGCATATGTTTAAGTGGAAATATTTATTTTTAGCAAAACATACAACCACCAGACTCCAATTAAGAGATGACATATGCAAAGACCCTTTTTCAAAGAACGACCCCTTTGAAACCCTCTTTTGTTTGCATGCACCTCTGATAGGTAAAAGTGCAGTAAGTCCATCTGTTTATGTTGCATTTTTGCTAACATTAGTGTGTTTGATGTATTTTTATATTGAAGGTATATATTACTGATTTGAGCAGGGCAATACTGACTTCAAAATGCTGTGAGCATCATCAACATACAAATAGCTGTAGCCAATTTAGATAGCAGTATAGATTTATATTTTGGAAACTGCACATCATTATGGGGTATAGGGTAGAAATGATTGGCAATAGGAGCCTAGCTAAATTCTTCTGGGCCCTAATGCAAAATGTGAACCAGGTTGTCCGGACATCCTCACCTTATTATTAACCTCAACCACACAAACAAACTTCATCATCATAAATATGTGCACATAAAAGCATCTTCTTGGTAATAAATTATAATGATCCTATTAGTGCTGTAAGAGGGAAATGGACAAGCTTTTCAGAAGAAGGGTAAGACTTGGGCTTTCTGGCGCCCTGGCCTAATAGCGGAAGTATGGAAAATGAACTACTTAGAAGTCCATTTTATGCTTGTTTTTAAAGGCTTATTGATTTTTAAAGGAAATAATAAGCATTATATATGCAAGTGTACTGCAATATAAAAACATTAGCAGACAGTGCTCACAAAAGGAAATAGACTTAGAAGAAATACAACAATAATAGAGAAAGAACCTTAAAGTGGAACCTAACTCATTATAAAAAATGCTCCCTCCCCCCTACTAACACCTATTCTGACAAACCTGTATAGGAAAGTTTTGTGTACTTACCTATTTTCAGTCCTGCTCCAGTCACATGATCTTTCCTGTGTCAGCCAGCCCCAGCTGCAGGGGAATGGAGACAATGATGGTTAGTTATACCTGGGAATGGTGATGTCGCCCATAGCCTTACTATGGCCTATTTGTTGTTGGCCCTCCCTCCTCTCCCCTGCAGCAGCGTTAGCTGACACTGGGGAGCTGGATCACATGAATGAACGGGAGCAGCAAATATGTACATATGCAGATCTCCTAAAATATAATGCGGGGGCACATCATAGGGATATGTAGAAGTATTCCCAAACTTGCACTTCAGCCTATGTGCACAATAATAACGGGTATGGCGTTGAAATGTTCTATTTGGTATGTGTACAATCCGTGTTTAATATAGTCTTCAAAAAAATATATCCATTAAGTTTTATTGCCACATGACCCCTTAATATTGGGCTACAGATGTGGGCATCCATCCCTTCACTGTTATTAGTCAGATACGCCTCTCCACATCACCGTCTCCCGCTACTGCTCTACCCTGACTTCTACATATCCCTATGATGTGTCCCTGCATTCGATTTTAGGACATGCCGCTGACCTGACTATCTACCTTTATGTTGTATGTTCACATTGGTATACTATATACTAAAGCTCCTGAAGAAGCACTATGTGCAAAACATGTTGAGATATTTTGTACTTTGTACTTGTAGGCTGTGGCTAACCTAAATGATATGGCACCTTGTGGAGTGTGTTGGTTACGTAATATTCTTACTTTGGGCAGGAAGCTGCACACTATAAGAAAAGTACAATACCAATGTGATGATTTGGTTGTGAATTTTTAATGAGAATGCAACATCTTTATTTTTCATTTATGATTTATTTTTGGAATAAAATATAGAATTTTTGGATAATTGTCTAGCTGAATTATTATTATACAGAATTTATATAGCGCCAACAGTTTGTGCAGCACTTTACAATATAAGGGACTCAGTACAATTACAATACATTTCAGTACAGAAGGATTAGGAGGGCCCGGCTCGTGACACTTACAATCTAAAGGAAGAGGGAGGTGGTACGAAAGGTGATAGCTGTAGGCGATGTTCTGATGGAGGTGGCTCAAGTACAGTTCTTAGGTGGAGGTGGGGTAGGCTTCCTTGAATAAGTGAGTTTTCAAAGATTGGCTAAAGGCAGATGGGGGGGGGGGGGGGGCTGACTGGTCATACTGTGGTAGGGAGTTCCAGAGGATGGGAGAGGCTCTGGAGAAGTCCTGGAGGCAAGCATGGGAGGAGGTGACAAGGTAGCTAGAGAGCAAGAAGTCTTGGGAGGAGCAAAGTGGGTGATTTGGACAAAATCTGCGGATGAGGTTGGTGATGTAGCTAGGGGCAGTGTTGTGGATGGCTTTGTATGCTGTGGTTAGTATTTTGAATTTTATACATTGGGTTAGTGGAAGCCAATGACAAGATTGGCAGAGAGGGGCAGCAGTCACTGATCGGTTGGTAAAGTGTATGAGTCTAGCAGCAGCATTCATAATAGACTGAAGGGGAGATCTCATCACGAATTGTGTTGATCTTGTTCTTGAAATGACTGGTAATCTCCTGTGCAGTAAGTAAGTTGGTGGATGGAGTAAGGAATTAAAGGTAGAAAAGAGTTGATGAGGATTGGATGAGAGTGATTGGATGAAGTGTTGTAGTAGGTTTGTCTAGCAGCGTGGAGGCCGGAGTTGAATTTGAGAAGGGAGGATCTGTAGAAGGTAAAGTCTTTCTGGGATTTAATTTAACGCCATGCTCGCTCAAGAGTGAATGCCTAAAAAGTCAATTTTCTTTGTTCTTCTAAAACAATCACTTTATAAGGTAATATTGTAATGAAGCAAACAATGATTAAAGCAGAACTTCGCTCTGTCAACCAACATGGACTAATTCTAATCCTTATGCTGCTAGCATTAGTAAATAGATGGGAAAGTATATCATATTTACTTATTTTAACCTTTTATTAGCATTCCTTCATTTACTTCCTGGTTTCCATGCAAATTATGTCATACATCCCAGGAGTCCCAGGAGCAGACCAGCCGTTCAGAATAGGATGTTCAGAAGCAAGTGGAGATCACTGTGGTAGCTGTGTCTCCTTCATTGATTTTCAACTTTTAGAGGGATCCCACAGGTACAGTATATACCTAGTTACATTGGCCCAAGCTAGATAAATGTAACTATGTATAAAATTCTATACCTGGAATTCTTCTTTAACTGCTTCCTGTCCACCCATTGCCTATAGACAGCGAACGGGAAGCAGCACCGCTGTGGTCTAACGTACCTTTGAATCAGCCCGCATCGGAGGCTCCTGAATGCCACACAGAGTGCGCACCCGGGAGCCCGGTGATCCGTGTGTCACCCGGATACAGTGGATCACATTACTGCTTTGTCTGGGTGGTCACATAGTATTACATGATTGGACACAGCAATCACATGGTAAACAATTCCAAGTGAAAGTAAAGATCTGTTCTCTCTACTCTCTGAAAGCACAGAGAAACGATGTGGCAGCCTGTGAGTATACAGCAGCCTGTCAGGCTGCTTGTACGCTCACAGACTGCAGTGCCAGCCAGTCCTAGTATCCCTGATCACTGCCCCTTTGTCCCTGATCATTGCCCCACTGTAATCATAATAAACCATGTAGTCAGCACCTGTCACCTGTCCCAATGCTCACTAAAACACCACCATACACCATACCAATA